CCTTGCTTTGTGTTTCAGACAATCTCTTGACATCCCACCTCAGATAAATAAGAGTATGAATTTTATCCTCCCCACCTCCCAAGGAAAGGTGGGCTGAAAATGAAGGGGCGTAATAGATGCCTGGTCCTATACAAAAATGTAGACTACAGACCTAGAGGATTGGCTCTGTTGGTAAATTGCCTGGCCTACAAGCATGAGGACTTGAGTTCAATGTCCAACACCCACATAGAAATTAGGGCATGCTGGCACGTACTTGTAATCCCAGTGTTTGGGAAGTGTAGGAAGGAGGATTCCTGGAGCTCACTGGTCAGCCAACCTAAGCAAATTAGCAAGACCTAGGTTTCAGTGAGAGACCCTGTTTCAAAAAACAAGTTGGATGGTGCTTGAGGAACAACGCCTGGAGCTGAGCTCTGACCTACCTACTTACCTACCTACCCTACCTACTGACACACACACACACACACACACACACACACACACACACACACCACACATTCACAGAGAAGAGGGCAGGGATTAACTCCAATGTCCAGCGTTCATGTCACTGAACATCCAGTGGAATGAAGAGTCTTCCTGCCTGCCACACACAGGCCTCACTGTTCCTAGTGCACTCCTGCTAGGCTGGGACAATAACTCACTGCTCAGGTCACATCTGGAGCTCCCTGCCGGGGCCTGCAGATGATGGTTTATTCATGAACAGGACGACTGTGGCCAGGGAGCTGACTCAGAACTGAGTGTGGACGGAAGGCCAGGTGGAGCCATGAAAGCTACGAGAAACAGGCTTATTCAAGACGCTCATCTTACTGCTGCCTGAGGCAGGCCCTCGCTCACACACCGACTGTGTGTTGCCCCAAAAAGAAGCATCAATTCATCAAGTAGGACCCAGAAATCAATACCAAGTCAGGATCTGAAATTAAATATCTGTGTGATTTCTACCAAGCGTCCCAGCTCCAGCCTGGGTTTGTGCTGGGGAGATCACTGTCTTCCTAACTCACTCTGCACTGAGTGCGCCTGTCACGGAGTTTGGTCTCCACATTCATTCCTGTCATCAGAAAGCAGAGGTGTTCGTAATGGGGAAGCTGGAGCCACACTTCCAGAGCCCAACATCAGCCTCCCCTGCCTCCTGCCCTTGGGAGTGGCCTGCCCTCGGTTTGCCTCAGTTTCTTCATCTGGAACATGAGGATGCTAACGATACTCTAGGCTTATGCGGCATGCTTTTGGGACTCTTTGCATTAGCATGGAAGAAGCAGAGGGTTTGGCACGCAATGAGGACTCGGGAGATGCCAGTTGTTATTGTAAGTCTGTATTTATTTTCCCACTTGTGAAAGTATAAAAGTTGAAAAGTAATTAAAACACATTAAAAGTAGATATGCCAGGAAAGGAGATAAATGAGCAGCTTGCGTAAACACGAATTAAGAGAGTCACACTCAAGTAAGAATTGTTCCCTGTTGAGGACAGCAACCATCTGGAAGGAATTAAAGGGGGAGGAGGTGGGTCACGAGCAGAGAACACTCGGTGACTGTTGGAAGGAGATAATTCACTCTGCTGTGAGTAAATGGTCCCAGAGGAAGGACATGGCTCTAGGCTTGGCCAGCATGAGTTGGGGCCCCCAAAACTTTGACCTCACAGACAGTGGTCTGATTAGGCTAGGTACCTAAACTATCTAGGCCATTGCAATGGACACCCACATCACCTTGAGAAGGCTGCCTCCCTAACAGAACTACACTACCAAGGTGCCGCTTTCGGTCTGTGGAATGGGCAATAAGAAAGCTGTAATGCCTAGTGAGTAGGGTTGCATTGAAACTGACTCCCTTAATTAAACGTCTGTGTCCTGAGTACGGATTAACATTATTTAAGGAGAGTCATTTGATTATGATTTTTCTGTTTGGTTGGTTTTGGCTTTTGAGGAAGAGGGGAGGGTGGTCTCATTCTGTAGCCCAGGCTGGCCTGTAATTTATACTTACTATGTAACCTAGCTGGCTTCAAACTCATGGCAATCCTTCTGTCTCAGCCTCCCTAGTGTTTGTTGTAAGCCACCACACCTGGTTATGGGATTTTTTTTTTTTAAGTCATAAAAATGTCTATGTATCTTTCGACCTGCTAATGCAACTTCTGGGATTTTATTGTTCTGAAAATCTTAAGCGAGAGACACACACATACACACATACAAATGGTGGGGGTGGGGAGAGAAAAAAAAAAGAAGAAAAATGCCTACATTTATTTGCTGCAATAAATAACATATCCCTTCCAGAAACTTCCTGCCATCAACAAAATTATAAGAGACTAAGAGAAAGATGGTGAAATTCTTGTGAAATAATTACAATATTAAATGGAAAACTCTGCAGAAATGATATTGTAAATCCTGTGTGTGCAAGGGGATGGAGCTCTGAGAAAGAAAAGCAAACAGTGCTTTGATGGAGGGTGTGGGCTTGGGGAGGAGTTTCTTCCTTTAATTTGGATTTGTGTTCAAATTGGTTGTGCAATGATCAAGGACCCAGAGGGACTCCCGGGAGGGAGAAGGTCACTGTCAGCTGTCTCCATACAGATGCAGTCTTAGCTCCATTCCCTGGACAAAGAGAAAGGCCTGGAGGTTGCAGGTACCAAGGAAGGGTCAGCTGGGCAGGGCCTGGAGCCTTCAGGACTGGGAAGGGGAAAAAATAAAATGGTTGGCTCACTACCTGGACGCTGGGCAAACGTAGCCTTAAACCACTCGTGTCACTTCAGCCCAGGATCTCACAGTCACACTAGAACCAGGACATCCATACCTCAAGGGGTCCTTTCTACCAGGTGGGGAGGGATCTCAGAACAAACAACGGTGCGTGGGTGCCGTGTGGCATGCAGCGTGTCTCTGTAACACAGAATATGCACGTGCCTCTCAGCACAACCTCCTGTCTCCTGTCCCTTTCCAATGCAGAGTCCTCAAAGAGTTGGTGTACTGTCAGTTTTCTTGGTGGACCAAGATTTGCACTAAGTTCCTGGTCTTCTGGGTTCAAGATGTCCAAAGCAGCATTATTTTATTCTTCCTGCCCCAGTTCCACTGCAGCCAATGCTTTCCATCTCAGACTCTCCAGACCAGAGCACCTGACCATAGCTACCTCAGCAGCCAGTTTGCACTCCTAGGAGCTCCTAGGAGACAGACCAGGGTGTTGTGACAGACTCTAGTGGTGAAGATTTCTCCTCTTAGGATTTTTCATAACCAGGGAAAGGACCCCTCTCCACAAGGAAATGTCGGGAGGGGCAGGGTGGCTTATTTTGCTGGGCAGGAACACAGGGAACCCAGAAGGGTGGAAGGGGACAGAGGAGGGATAGGAACAGATCTGAAACACTCTCCACTGCCTGGAGGTGCTCTTCCCGCGGCAGAAAGAGATGGGACCCCGAGTGGAGGAAACCACAAAACCAGCACTGTAGCTGTCAGCCTGGCCCTGCCTATTGCCAGATGGGGTTGCCTTAAGCAGCCCTAGGGAAGGCGCCAAGCAGTGTTTCTCAACCATCGTAATGCTGCGACCCTTTAATACAGTTTCTCATGTTGTGGTGACCCCCAACCATAACACCATTTTCATTGACTGCTTTATAATGTATTGTAAATCTTTTTGGAGACAGAAGTTTGCCAAATGAGTTATAACCCACAGGTTGGGAAACACTGGCATAGAAGAAAGCCCAGTTCTGGGATAGCCCACTGGGGTAGGATTTGCTGTGTGACCCTGGGCCACATTAACAGGTCTAGTTAAAAGAGGGGGTATAACAGGATTGGCTTAGTCTGTTTGGGCCACCATAATGAAACCCTTTAAGCTGGATGAACAACAGACATTTCTTGCCTGTGTTTCTGGAGGCTGGATATCCTTGATCAAGGCCCTAGATGAGTCAATGCCTGATGGCACCTCAGTGTGTCCTCCTGTGGGGACAGGGGTGGACAGCTTCTTTGGACTTAATGTACAAGTCATAATTATATTTGTGAGGGTTCTGCCCACACGACTAGTCACCTCCAGAATGCCCCGCCTTTTAATGTTATTACTGGCAATTAGGGCTTTCATTCTGTAGATGAATGGGAACAACTTTAGACCATTGCTGGTGCCTACTTCCTGAGGTGGAAGGGGTCATAGCACGCACACGCTTTTTCTCTCAAGGTGTGTGTGTGTGTGTGTGTGTGTGTGTGTGTGACCAAGTTTAATGACAGCTTCTTATAGGAACAGGATGAGCAGTATTTAGAGGAACATGAGCAGCTAGCCAGAGTCCACATCCTTGAAGAAAACATCTCCCTTCTCCAGCAATCATTAATTGCCAATAGATCTTCAAGGAGGATGGGGCCTTGTGAACCCCTCTCCCCTCTAACAGAATGTTGACTGACCAAGCTTGTGTAGGGTCTGTAAGTTCATGAGCACAAAGACTTTGCCATCCATGGAGGACTTTCTTGCACAACCCTCCTCTCCACCCCTTCCTACGGCGCTTACATTCTTTCTACCCCCTCTTCCTGGATGTTCTTTTTTTTTTTTTTTTTTCTTGATCTAGGGTTTCTTTATATAGCCTTGGCTGTCCTGGAACTCACTCAGTAGACCAAGCTGGCCTTGAACTCACAGCAATCCACCTGCCTCTGCCTCCTGAGTGCTGGGATTAAAGGCGTGTGTCACCACTGCCCTTCTTGGAACAACCAATATCTTAAGTGGAATTCCATAAAACGATCCATCTCCAATGGATATAGAACATGTTTCCTCTAGAACATGCTGTGTACATTTGTGCAGCAGAATACAAATAAGGCTCCAACTTACGGTTGCTGGGAATCTTTTAAAGTTCCAAAGCCAACCTCCTGCCCAGTATCAGCATCATCTGCAGGTGATTACAGTGGCAGATAGGTTTGGGAACCACTGTATGAAACACCCAGTCTCAGCCATCCCTCCTCCCTTTCATTCACATTATATTGAGCACCTGCTGGATGCCAGTAGACTTGCCTGTTGTTATTCAGACCTCCCTGCCCAACCCCTTCTCACCCTTCACCTCTTCTACAGTGTCCCGGCCTCGGAGCTCCCCAGATGACTTGAAGGCGCTGACTCGGAATGTCAACCGGCTGAATGAGAGCTTCCGGGACATGCAGCTGCGCCTGCTGCAGGCTCCGCTGCAGGCGGACTTGACAGAACAGGTGTGGAAGGTTCAGGATGCGCTGCAGAACCAGACGGACTCACTGTTGGCCCTGGCAGGCTTGGTGCAGCGGCTGGAGGGCGCACTGTGGGGGCTGCACGCGCAGGCGGCGCAGACCGAGCAGGCCGTGGCCCTGCTCCGTGACCGAACAGGACAGCAAAGTGATTCCGCGCAGCTGGAACTCTACCAGCTGCAGGTGGAAAGCAACCGGAGCCAGCTGCTGCTGCAGCGCCACGCGGGCCTGCTGGACGGGCTGGCGCGCAGGGTGGGCATCCTGGGTGAGGAGCTGGCTGACGTGGGTGGAGCACTGCGTGGTCTCAACCACAGCCTGTCCTATGACGTGGCCCTGCACAGCACGCGGCTGCAGGACCTGCAGGTGCTCGTGAGCAATGCCAGCGCTGACACGCGCCTCATGCGGCTGGTGCACATGGACATGGAGATGCAACTCAAGCAGGAGCTGGCCACACTCAGCGTGGTGACCGAGGACCTGCGTCTCAAGGACTGGGAACACTCCATCGCCTTGAGGAACATCACCCTTGCCAAAGGTACTTGAGTGACCCAACCCTGTCTATAAGCGTCTCCTGTCTGCCCTTCCTGCTCAGGCCTTCCCCTGCAAAGCTCGTCCCAAGGACCCATCCTGGAGTGGCAGTTAAAACTCACACCTTCACCTTTAAGCCTTGCACTGTATGACTCTAGAATGTTCTGCCTGAATGACCCATGCCCATTTCCAGGGCCCACCTAGGTCTCTCTGCTGATAAAAGCTCCTTAGGGCAGAGAACGGACTCAGCATCCATATCCCTAGGCAGGAAAACAACCAAGGGTAGATGATGAGGGATAGGGTGGTCAGAGATTGGGTGTGCCTTCTGCAGCCTTCAAGAGACAAAAGACAGTCCTGTATAGGCCTGGCAAGAGGGCAGAGGGCTCCTCCAGTTGGGAAGGTTCTAATGAGTGGAGATCCAATTACTGGGAATTCCAAACTTGAACCTGACCTACGAGGCTGTTAGAAAAAATATGTTTGGCCAGGCAGTGGTGGCACGTGCCTTTAATTCCAGCACTCAGGAGGCAGGAGCAGGTAGATCTCCGAGTTTGAGGCCAGCCAGGTCTACAGAGAGTGTTCCAGGACAGCCAGAGCTACACAGGAAAACCCTGTCTTAAAACACCAAAACAAACAAACAATCAAACAAACAAATATATATATATTTGTCCAGGTAGAGTAATTTAAATTCATTAAATTGACTGTGTGTGCTGGCCTGTGAAGCTCAACAGATGGCAACCAGACTGGTCTGTGTAAGAAGACCCAGTATATGAATGAATGAAGTCACCAATAAATGGGTCACTGTTGCTGTGACGAAACACTATGGCCAAAAGCAAACAGGAGAAGAAGGGGTTTATTTGGTTTACCATTCCACATCATAGTCCATTATTGAAGGAAGTCAGGACGGAAACTTAAACAGGAACCTGTAGGCAGGAGCTGATGCAGAGGCCATGGAGGGGTGCTGTTTGTTTGCTTGCTCTGCATGGCTTGCTTAGCCTGCTCTATTATAGAACCACAAACCACCAGAGCTGGGGTTGCACCACCCACAAGCCCTACAGGGTCTTACAGAAGCATTTTCTCAGTGGAGGCTCCCTCCTCTCCTACAACTCTACCTTGTGTCAAACTGCCATGACACTAGCCAGCACACTCAACAACTGCTGGCCTAGAGACGCAGCTCTGCGCTTCTGATAAGCCAGCCTCTCCCCTGCTGGGCTGTGGAACTCCTGAAACTGACTAGTCTGGAAGTCAGCGCTACTGAGATTGTCCTCATTAGTACCCCTGCTGCATGTGGGGAAAGCAAGGCCATGCCACACAGCATGTGTTAAGAGCAGCGCCTCTCTAGGTGAATGTCACCCTGCCCTTGGGTGCTGCATGGGCACTAAGAACCAGGAAGCCTAAAGAACCTGTTCCGGTTGCAGGGTGAGGAGAGTCAGGAATGGATTCTGGAATGTTCCCTTTGGTCCGGTCTGCCTTCCACTCCCACACAGAGGGAGGTAGACAGAACCACCTGAACCTCTCCAGCTGACGTTTTCCAGCCCTGTGTCCTCTCCTCATCATGCTGCCCTCCCTCCTCTGAACTTCCACAGTGACCACAGAGAGCTATAGTCACCCCGGGGCCTTCAGCTCCACATGTCCAGAGTGCTCCTGAATGCATCCACGATTTTCTGTACTGTTGTGGGAGTGGACTTTCTGCCATCATTCTATCTAATTTGTCTCTAACGTGTACCTCTTTAAACACACATGTACACATTCATATATATACATGCATACATGCCTATACATACCTGTATAAACACACACACTGGCATGTATAATTCACATGCACACACATTCACAAAGATACCCGAACGCATAACTCAAATGCTTTCATACATACATACACAGATAACTGCAAACATAACTCACATGTACATATGTATGTACAAATACACACACAGATGCCTCCATGCGTAACTCACCAGCACGAACACCTGAAATAAACACCTTCATGTACATAATTCACACATATGTATACACATATATACATACGTGAGCAAACACATATATGTGAATGCAAAACTCATAGGTACACACATGTGCACATATACGCAAACACAGACACCTACATGCATAGCTCACATGTATGCACATACGAACAAATACAGATACCACATTCCTCCTCTTTCCTTTTGAAAGCAAAGAATCCCTAAATACTTAAGCGAGTGTGCTTTTTTTGTTGTTGTTGTTTGTTTTGTTTTGTTTTGTTTTTTAAGATGAGAGCATTTACATCATACTTGAGCTTGCCTCAAATGGTTTTCATTCTCTCACTTTGCTGCACAGCTTTCTATGGGCTTTGACTCCAGCTCATCTTTCGTAGGCATTCACAGCAAAGCATTGCTTTCTTCTGCTTTGGATTTTTCAGCATCAATGAGGTCTGTCAAAATCTGCCGGTGCGATTTAAAGGCACAGAGAGCTTAGATTATCAGAGAGGGAGGAATCCCTGGAGAGGGGAAGGAAAATCAGAGAGGGAAGACAGGCCAGAAGACTTTGGTACAGCAAGCCCCGAGGCAGCCCACCCAGCCATGGGCAGATGGCTGAAATGCAAGCTTTCTAGAATTCTTTGGAATGGAAATAGGCCTCTGAAACCATGTGGTCTAATCCTCATGTACCGTAGTAGAGAACCACAAGGCCCCGAGAGGGGAAAAGACTTATCCAAGTCAAATGTCAAACCTCTCGATTAATGAAAACAGGTTTTCAAAGCGGCTTTATCTGGCAACTGCTTTATTCCCGAGAGAAAACACCATCTAGTGGATGGAGAAGGGAGTCCTTCGCGCCTTCTGTCAGGTGTGTGGAATAAAGGAGTGGGGACCGAATTCTAGGTTTGACAAGGGGAGTCTAGCTTCCAGTTAGTAGAAATGGACAGCCAGCCGCTGTGAATGGAGCTGCCTGTAAAACACGTGTTATCTGCTCTACAAGGATTGGGGTACACGTACAGGTCATGAGTGCGTTGCATGACCCTCTGAACTCTCACCCTCCTCAGAGTAGACGCAGGGTACTCTTTGAATGCATCCTGCCCCCACTCCTTTGCTCTTGAGGATCCTTTCCTCCAGCAGGGCTGCCCTAAACTTCTTGGGGATGCTCCTTTCCTGGCTGTGGAATGGAGCTGTCCTGTTCTTTTCTTAGGTAGAGATGTTTCGAATATGGAGACACCTTGCTCTTATGTTGTAGAGTTGGAACACTAGACAGAGCAGTCAGTGGCAGGGTCATGTGGGCTCGGATGGTTGACAGACCTTGTCCCAACCCCCTCCACACTGTGATCTACCTCAGAAAAGGAGAAACAAGACGTGTGACTATAAACATCTGAGAGGTTTAAAAAAAAAGTCTCGTGTGGGCGAGGCTGGGAGCGACAGCCACTGTAACCGCATATACTGCCCAGAAGTCACCTCAGAATGCCAGCGGTGGGTTGGCACAGCTGTAGAGGGCTCAACTCCTGGAGGCCGGGGCCCAGGGAGAAATGAAGGGTGAAATGGTGTGAAGAGTGTGAACTGTGTGGGCTTTAGCAACAGAGATCTGTGCTAGGTTTCCTTTGCCGCTGAGTTTGCCTGGAGGGGAGGGAGCTGGGAGCAGGATGGGGGTGGGGTAGGAGGTGGGGGGTGAGCTCATTTGCATCTTGGTTCTGCCCTTCCCTGGCTGCATAATTCTTGGCAAAATAGGTTTTGAGTCTTGATCCTGTTATCTGAGAACTGGGATAAAATATATATATATATATATATATATATATATATATGATCCTTAAAAACTCCAGCTTTCCTTAAATGTTTTATGTAACTCGTGAGTTTAAAAAAAAAAAAAAGTTGACTACTTTTCCCTTGCTCTTGAGCCATTGAATTGTTAAACAGCTGTCAGCTTTGGTTAGGGTCTGAGGACAGTGCCAACTTTTGGAATGTATCAGTACATCTTGATCTTGGCGGCCGGGCTTGTTTTGTGTGTATTAACACCCTGTGATCTCATATTCTCATTCATTTGTCAAATATGGACGGTGCAAGACACTGTCTGCTGCCAGCCTCCATGTTTTGGCTTCCTGGGACAGCCCCACACGCTGGGGCTAAAAATAACTGTTTATTGTCCAGAGGTTGCAAGCCTTCAACCAAGGCATCTGTGAGGTCACATCACTCTGAAGCTCAGAGGGAGGGTCCTCCCTGTGCCTTCTGAACTTCTGGTGGGTGAGGCAATCTTGGTCTGCAGATGCTTCATTCCCATGTCTGCTTCTGTTGTCCTATGTCTCTGTCTGTTTACAGGACACCTGTCATAAGATTAGGGTCCATCCCACCCCAGTAAGACCTTAACTAATGACATCTGTAGAAACCCAGTGTCCTAGGAAAGGTGAGGAGGTTCTGGGGACAGATAAGGTAGGAGCACTCTTCAGCCAGTATAGCAGGAGGTAAGTGCTTGCAACCCGGGTTCTCACGCCAGGGACAGGTATACAGGATGTATCAAAGTGCCCCCGGGATGCTTGTCCGGCTTGTGCCCATGCCAGCAGGAATCATGGGACCAGGAAAGATCGACAGCAAAATGACAAGGAGCATCCCCAGATCATAGTCATGGGAAGATGACAGGGAGGACCGCCGTGCTCACCAGCCTGGGAACAGCAGGTACCAGAATGAACGGCTGGTGGCCGGAAGATGGGAAGGGTGAGCTGTCTGGTCCTGTGGGTGTGGCAAGAAGGAAAAGTGCCAGACAGACCTGGAGTGAAACCATGGCTCCTTCACCGTGGCTGCCTGTGTGGCCTCAGACAAGTAACTCCAACACATGGGTAGGGATGGAGACTGAATTCAGTCACATATACTTGAATCTCTGCCCCGCTGGAGCCACCCTTGGAAGCTTGCCCCACTCACAAACAGTCAGAAACTTATCCTCCACCCAGGTGCCCAGCTGAAACCTGAGTTTAGGCTGGCCTCCTCCTCCTTCCTCAGGGGGGAGCCGAAAGCTGTCCCACTTTCTAAACCATCCGGCCACTCCCCTATGTCTTTGGTACCTTCTTTCCTAACCCAGGGCTCCTCCACTTCCTACCTGAATGGACCCCAGTCCCTGCCTCTCACCTTCTTCTGTTCCATCTCTCTTTCATACCACCTCCCAGACAGCTTCCTTCCTTGTGTGCAGACCTAATGTGGCTCCTCTACCAGGCCCCTTCCCCCCTAGTACCCCCCAGGCAAGATCAAGTCCAGCACCTAGGCCTCCAATACCCCCACTTTCCCCACTTTCCCAGCCCACTGAGCCCCTGCTGCTTGGTTCACAGGAGCTTACACAGCTACACCTTTGCTTTACACCCATGCAGGGATTGCTTCCTCTGCACAAAACTCTCCCTTTTCACTCCATCTCGAACACCCCGACCACTGAAGTGGGCTGAAGGGCTTAGACCACAGACATTTCTTTCCTTCCAGTTCTGGAAACTGGAAAGTCTGAGGTCAGAGTACTAGCATGGCTGGGTTCAGGTGATCCATTTCTTTCCTGGTGTGTACATGGATACTTGTTTCTTATAGTCTGGTCTGGCAGAAAGGCAGGATAAAGGACAGGAATGAAGGGAGAGGAAAGGCATAGCATGCTAGTGCCATGCTCAATGGTGTTCCCCACTTCCAGACAGGAGACTGGGTCTCATGCTATAGCTAAGGCTGACCCTGAACTCATCTTCCTCTTACCTCTGCCTCCTGAGTGAATGCTAAGGCTACAGGCATACTCCATCACAACTGACCTTTCTCGTTTGATAAAGCCACTGATTCCATTGAGGAGGGCCCCATCCTTGACCTCATCTAAACACAGTCCCTTCCTACAGCCCCACCTTTCTAAACCATAACCCCCCCCAGGGGGGGGGGGACAGGTTAAGAACTTTCAACATATGGTTTTTAGAGGGAACCAAATAGCCCTGAACACACTTCACCCTTCTCTACTTACCGAAAGCAGGATTCCATGGGACCTCCGCAAAGCTGAGTACCTGACATTTATGTGTTTCCAACGCACATTTCTGGTCCTTCCTCTCACCCCAGAGGGAGAAGTTTCCATTTTCCACCAATGCCTTGGCTTTCTTACCTTCTAATCTTGTTGTTGTTGACTTCTTTCAGGGCCACCGGGACCCAAAGGTGACCAAGGGAATGAAGGAAAAGAGGGAAAGCCGGGCGCTCCTGGGCTCCCTGGGCTTCAAGGTAATGGGGTACACTGGGAGGAACCTGGAGATGGGGAGAGTGCTTCAGGTTCACCCATGACCCTCTCATCCTAGGGATGATAGACTTCCTCCACTTCCATCAGGTTGTCAATCTAACCACACAATGGGCCAAATGCTTTTGCCTAAGAAGCACCCGGATCTGAAGGAAGGGGCTCACAAGAGCCCCCAGCTTCCCTAAGCCACTGCTCACATAGGAATCAGGGTTCCCAGGGCCAGGGCCTTCAGTAAAGGTGTTCTATGATACCAGGAGCCTGACACTCTCTTGTGCCATCTCGATTCCTGATGCCCTGCAGCCACATGTGTCATGCGGGAGAATTTAGGACCATCTAGAAAGACTGTATTCCTCTTAGGCTCATAGTCTTAGAAGTTTCATGTCAGGGCCTTTGGCAGACATCTGCATCTGCCCTTTCCTGAGCCCGTGTTGCACGCACTGTTCCTCTGAGTGAATAGGCTTCGGGATGGTGCTAGGAGAAAAAGCCTATCAGGAAAGGTCTGGTTATTTGTTTTAGGAATTATTCCTACCAAATCTCTAGGTACATTACAGACAAGGGGGAGAAGGTGGGGCTTGGGAGCTCTCCAGCCTGACCTCCATTCTGTCCTCAGATCCACAGCTGAGGATACCCCGAGGCTCTCAGGACAGTGGAAGCGCTTTTCCTGCCTAATGACTCATAGGGTGGGGAGCTTTGGGCACATCTTGCATGAGACTCCGAGCTCAGTTGCCACAGGACTCTCAGACGCTGGGAACAGATGCATCATGTCAAGAAGGGAAAGAAAGACATTCCACTAATTTCTTTGACGTCCTCACACCCTTGGGAGGCCATTGTCCTCCCCCAGTCATTTGCCATTAGCCCTGGGGTGATAACTGGGAGACAGGTTTCTTGTGCTGTGGGGGAAAAAAAAAAAACCAATGAAAACCAGCTTGCTTTCCAAGCAGGAAAGAACAATTAGAAAGTTGATCAAGAGAGCTGTGTTCTACAGCGATGACTAGACTTGGGTCAGGACTCTTGGGGCCCTTGGGCTCTCACTCCATAAAAGTGTTTGTTGATTCTGGCTCTCCATGGTACATGCAGTGCAGGTTGTAGCCACAGGGCCTGATGGCCAAGAGCCTGAGGTACGGGGCCTAATGGGGTGGCAGGCTACACACCCATTGATTGGTTTTGTGGACATCATACTTTTGGCACTTTGTGGAAAGAAAGGGAGTGTTTTGTTTTTCTGTTTGCTGTTTTCCCCTTTCTTTAAATAGGATGAGGCATTACCTCACCCTCCTCCCACTCATTAATGCCATCCCCCATGGCATCCTCTCCCTCAGGACCAGTGAGCCCGTTAGCCTAAAGCATAACATCTTGTTGACAAGATCCAGATACTGCTTCCAAAGCCCTTTGCTGTATGCCCCAGGGCAAGCATTCATAACCCTTAGTTTTCTTATGTGTAGTAACACCTCCATGTATGTTATGAGGATTAGATGAGATTCTTTATGCCTGACACACAGGGGGTAATCCGAAACATGCTTGCGGGGTTCAGAAGTCCAGCGTGCTTGCAGGTCTTTGAACAAAACTGGTACTACTACCATCACTCACAACAGTATTAGGCTTTTCAAGGGTGAGGAGTCAGGGAAGAGTTGTATAGATATATATGGGGATGTTGTGAATTGACCTGCAGGAGGCTAAGCAAGAGGAAGCAGAGGCTATGGAAGACCAGGTTCTTATTAATCATTAAACCAGGCAATGGCATCTAATGGACCTTTCCATTCTGAGCCTGCAGCTCCGCCCTTGTCTCTTCTCTCCTCAGGTCTGCCAGGAGAAAGAGGTGCCCCAGGACTGCCTGGTCTCAAGGGTGATGATGGGAAGCTAGGGGCCACAGGTCCCATGGGCATGCGTGGATTCAAAGGTAACAACGAAGCTTGGTGCACCCTGGAGCCTCATGTACCTTCAGTCCTTGAGTAGCATAGGAGCTCTGGAGTGGGTGGGCTAGGGGGTCACCTTCACCCTCTGCCATCAGCAGAGTGCTCTCTCTCTCTCTCTCTCTCTCTCTCTCTCTGTGTGTGTGTGTGTGTGGGGTACAGGTTGCAGTCCAGAGATATAAACAGGGGAAGCTAGTGAGGGGTCTCTCAGAACAAAACCAGGCTGCAAGCTCCTATCACTCCTCCTCACCAGCCCTACTGGACTCCTCCCCTTCTGCAAGACTCCTCATGTTTCCCCCAGTGCTTACAACTTTATTTCATTTCTCAGCGTTTCTCCTGATATTTTTTTGCATCTTTCTGTGGCTAGTCCCCTTGCTCATCTTTAGGGGAACCTAATTCTTCAGACTCAGTCTCCTTCTTTCTGTAGCTCACCTTCCATTCAAGGTTGTCAGACTGGCCAGGGGTGGTGGTGCACGCTATTAATCCCAGCATTCGGGAAACAGAGGCAGGCAGGGCTCTGTGATTCCAAGGCCACTCTGGTCTACACAGTGAACTCCATCCAGGACATCCAGAACTACATAAAGGGACCATGTCCCATGTCCCGGATAGATAGATAGATTAGATAGATAGATAGATAGATAGATAGATAGATAGATAGATAGAAAAATATAGGTAGATATAGATGGATGGATGGATATATGGATGATAGCTAGATGATAGACAATATATAGATAGATGATAGATGAGAGTTAGATAAATGAGAGTTAGATAGATACATTGCAGATAGATAGATAGATAGATAGATAGATAGATAGATAGATAGAAGACAAGGATGCCTGATGCTCTTTGCACAGGCTGTCTATGGTTCACTTGTTACCATGACAACTCAGAGAAAGCACTACTCCTCATTCCCACCCTGTGACTGGGAAGTCTCCTGTTCTTGGATCATTGGGAAATCATATTCCACTCTCTGGTGATGAAACTGCCTGAGGTTTTGCTTTTATGATGCTAGTTTGAAAACATGTAATTTTAAAAAGACCATGTAAAGACAGTTGGTGCTTGCTGAAAAACGACTAGACAATACAGACTTACACAAAAAATAAAGTAGACAGGAAGTCCTTTCTTCTTCAGCCCCTTGGGCTCTTACTCTTCAGAACAACCTCTGTGAGCTCTTCGGAGCCCACGCCACTGGATAGTTCTCTAACTGTGTCCAACCATGTATGTGGTTGTTTCATTGTTTTCAAACCTGGAATCACAGTGAATACTCTTTCCTGGAAGTTTCCAACTTGCTTTCTTCACCCACAATATGCAGCGGGCTTTTGATTTGCAGATGTATGTCTGGAAAACTTTAACATAGAATCACCCCTGCCTTTCTATTGCCCACTGAGCAGCCCCAGAACGTTTTCCTTCTTTGTAGAGAGAGGTGGAAGCTAGGAAACGCTCTGATCTTTAAACCCACAAGTCCTTGTAAACTCTGACCCCAATGTCTCCTCTACCAGAAAAAAAAAAAAAAATCCTGACTGGCAACCTGTCTCCATAGACAACTGGAGCTCAGCCCCTTTCTCGCCAATGAACTAGGTTGTGAATCTCTCCAACTTTGACGAACTCTGCTCCGTTCCAGGCATTCGCTGATGCTATGTGGTAGATGGGGCTCTCTGTACTTACACTAAAGGAAAGGAGGAGGCTTACCTTCTTGGGCTCTTCTCTTTCCCATAGGACTGGAGCAGGTGTTACCATTATCTTCCCCACAGTGCCCCCTGGTGGCTGCTAGCCCCTGTCTGAGGGTTTTCTCTTCAGTTAATTAGCACTTCCGGAAGATTAAATCTGATTAACTAATAGTGTTTGTCTCCATTCCAAATGCCTGTTTTCCTTCTGTTGCAGGTGAGCGAGGCCCAAAAGGAGAGAAAGGAGAGAGAGGAGAGAGATCTGGTAAGAAAGTTCTGCTGGGTTACAGAGTACTGTGGGGCATAGGTGGAGCCCTCTAAGGTCAGGGGTCAGGTGCTGGAACCACACCCTGGGACTTGAACATGCCCTCCACCTTTTTTTTTTTTTCCCATGGCCCTCACTGGCCCAGCAAACCCTAGGGTTGTAGGCCTGGGGTTATATAGACGGCTCTAGAGGTTTCCTCCTGGTGGCATCACTAGCTGCCTTTGGGCTTCCATTTATTCATCTGTAAAACGGAGACAACGAGAATCCTGACCTCTTAAGACTGTGGTGAGAGCTGACCAAGTTGATTCATGTGTGACAGAGTCTGGACACCCGATTCAGGGCCCATGGAGTATTAGCCATTAATATTCTATGTCGTACACCAGCTCAGACATACTTCCTGAAAAGTCATTGGGGGTGTTTGAGAAAACTCAGCTCTAGGCTCTGTGGAAGCAGCTCGTGCGTGCAAAGCATGCAGAGGGTGAGCGGAACCTCTTCCGTCTTCCCCTCTGCTGCTTGTGATTCGGAAAACACTTCATTCCCTGGCAAGCCGCGCAGTTTCACGTGGGAAGGGGCACCTCTTCCTTGCTGAAACCCTTCCTTGCGGCAGTTGCAAGGGAGCTGGCTGATCCAGCTGAGCCACATTTCCGTATCACGTACCTTCCCCTGAAGGGCTCCGTGTAGACTCCCAGAGATGTTGCTGGGGAAGAACCAAGTTCCAAACAAGAATAGAGAGCCCAGCACTGGGCGCCATTGGCTCTGAATCTATACTCGGGAGGGCCTGGGGGGATTAGCATGTCTGTGGGCGCCTGTGCTCTGTGCCTTACTCCGGGGTGGGGGGATGTGGCCCGGGGACGGGAAAGGACAGGGTGGCAAATGTGGTCTTTGGGGTACCGCCTCCTTCTGCGTTTCTGAAAGAATGCTGCCAAGGTGACTGAGGGAGCAGATTGTGGCGTTTAGTTCTGAGAAATAAACATCTTGTGTGGGGTTGGGCAGGAAGGGAGGAACTGTGTGGAAAGATGACCTTTGCCAGGGAGATCAGAAACGCTGCCCACATACCAGAGGGGTCTCGCAGGGAAGTTTCTGCCAACTGTTCTCTTAGCTGGTTTGAGAGCCCAAACAGGAGGTCACAGCCAGTAGAGCGAGTGTGGCCGCCATCTACCTGGACAGAGCTGGTTTGGTTCTGAGACTGAGGAGGCAGAAGTCAAAGCTGGGGTAGAATACCCATCCAGGTAAACTAAGGATGGCTTAACCAGGGACATCTGTTCTGGATGTGTCTTTCAGGGGAAGGAAGGTTTCTTTACTGTCTTGAGGACGCTGTATCCAGACTGGAACCCAGGATTCATACACAAAGCCCAAGCCCACAGCTCATATAAAACTCTTTGCTTCCCTTCAAAGACCCCAGAAATGGTTTCCTTGTGCCCCAGAACTAAAAGGTTGAGGGAGCTTGGCAGACAGGAAGCTACTCACAGCAAGAGGAAGGGCCTAGAAGGCACACAGGAATTCTAGAACCAATGAACTGGAAAGCTACCATCCACCTTTTCCACTGTCAGAAGCCAAGAACTGAACACTGGGGCCTTGGCTTCTTGAGTCTGAAATGAGAAGTCAGGGCAGTGGAGTCTTAGATGCTAGGGCTGAGCTCCCCAAAGTTCCTAGTGAGTTCCTCCTCCCTCAGTCCGTGGGAAGGCCTAGGCTTAGGGGACCTTCGCCTCAGTTCAGAACTGAGGTCTGAGTCTGCCTTAGCTTCCCACGGCCTCAGCTTCCTAGGTGGCTTCTAGCCACACCAAGTCATATGCAAACACAGCCCTCCTGTGTTACTTATATCCCTGAGACCCAGGCTCTGAGGAGAGGCCAGTGGCTCATCTTTCAGAAAAGTGTGGAAAGTCTGATGGACACAATGCCTGCTACTACTGAGGCTTTCTTAGTCATTCCCTGGGCCCTTGGCAGCCCCACTGTGAGATCTATGAGGTAGGAAGTGTGACTTCTCAGCGTCAGAGAGCCTCAAACCCCTTAGCTGTGTGGTGCAGGGCCAGCTCACCAGGCTGAGTTCTGGCAGCCGGTGCCTTTGCCAGAAGCTTGAGAACTTTACCAGATTCCTCAGGCCAGCCTGCATTGCAAATGCGTGAGGTTCTTTCCAATAGGGAGTGTTACTATAGTAACAATATTCATGACAACATCAAGACAGATGCCTCTCACTGGCTAGTGGACAATGTGCACTATTAGAGAAAACTCTTGGGGACCAAGTTTGCAGTCGGTGTTAAGATGTTTTTCAGAACAAAAATCTTGCCATTGTTTACCCATATTGAATCTGGAGTTCTGGGATTCTGGGGGTTTGGATAGGTTTCAGATCACTTCCTGTCGCATTCCCAGCCCCACCCCTGCAGGTCATTGAACCCCATGGTGGAGGGACTCCAAGGTTACCCGCTTAGATGATTGGGTCTAGAATCCAGACCTCTTGGTGTTTTTCTTGATGAGAAGTAAAGACTTTTATTTTCCCGTCAGGCCTTCGTGACATCAATCATCCCCTTAAATACCTGGAGATTCAGCCGGGGGGCGGAAAACAAGATCCATATGTACAACTCAAGGAAGTCAGGGATTTGTATTAGCTTGGTAAATGATCTGTTTACAAGATAAATATGTGTGTGTGTGTGTGTGTGTGTGTGTGTGTGTGTATGAGGTATTTACTCACGAATTCATTCATTCAAACTAGTTATTCACGGATTCATTCATTCATTCATTCATTCATTCATCCTCCTTGTCCTTCTGGTGTCTGGTAATGGCTTGATAAAAGCAGTGTGGGAATGAAAAAGGATACACACACACACACACACACACACACACAGCTCACATCTGGTAACTGCAAACATAAAGGGCTATACATTTTGCTTAGGAAAATCGGCTTGAATCAAAAACTGAAGCAAATGCAAAGTGCCGGAGAGAAATTTCCGTCTTGCTGGGGGAGAAAGACTTGTTAACAGTGACAAGTGACCTTGGGAAGAGCTGTGGTAGAAGTGGGGTCAAGGTCAGAGAGGAGTTATGACCCGAACTCTGAAGAAAGTTTGGGATCCAGTAGGCACTTGTGGAGAGTGATGGCATCCCAGATGCAGGGAGCCAGGCATGGAGCCGATACTCCGGTAGGTGGGCTGAGTAAGTCTAAGGCATTAGAAACAAAATCCAAGCTCAGGGGACAGGTGAGAACGCCCCCCGCCCCCAAGAACCTTGCAGTGGTAGGGAGGTTAGCCTTGATCCTCTTTTCTCTGACCTTGGGAAGCGGCCAGCAGAAGTGGGCACTGTGTGGTGGCTGGGGGAACCAACCAGAAGCTGTCATCCCTGAAGGCCCTTCTCCTTCGCCAGCCCTGAGGCATGCCCTTCCTCCCCTGGGGACAGTCCCCTCTGTGGGTAAAGGTTGCTCCTCTGCTCTAGCTCCTGCTTGGGTCTGTGGGGTCCCTGTCTTTAGCAAGGCCTTTTTCAGAAACATCACCCAAAACAAAGACAAGATCCAAACTCTACAAAACTGTATAAACAGTCTGAACCATAGGGCGGCTCAGAGAAAAACACTTGTTTCTTCAGAGCTCTTTCACATGCTGTAACCTCAAGCTGGCTTTGCCCATACCACAGTTTCCTGGCACCAGCCAGGTGTTCTACTTTATCTGCTTGGAGTTAGTACGAACCCCACAGGTTCAGTGCTCAGTGTCGCAGGGACCTCACTTTAGATCCAGTTGCTGTAACTCGTACTTCCAGTGGCCTCCCTGAGTTCAGTCATTTGCTAGAATGGTTAACAAAGCCAGCACCTCCTCCTGTTTCCTCCCTTAAAGAGGATATTCTCACCATCCCTGGCCAGCTGAAGAGAGACAAGAAAGGGCTCCTGAGCCCAAGCAAGGAAAAAAAAAACTGCTACTGCCAACACTTAAAGAAGTGAGGTCCCTCTTGGGAACACAGCAGTGATGAGACCATTAACAGACTGCTAATATCTGTATTCTAAACACATCTAAGTAGATGCAGGAGTCAAGGGCCAGGGCCTGAGAAGGGCAGCTATTAGCAAACAATAAACAAATGAAGGCTTGGCATGTGTACTGAGCAAGGGTTAGCAGCCAGGGGCATATTGGAATTTGGGAGGGCTGGCTGCTTTGAACTGCTGTTCTCGTGGGTTATTCATGCCTGGTGGTCAAGCCAGCCAGCTTACTGATCTGGGTCCAACACTCTGCTAGCTCTCCCCCATGGCTCCGAGCTACTCAGTCTTTCGGCTCAGGGCCTGGAGGCAGCTTTCTTAGGACTCAGAGGCCTACTCTCTGGGATTTGCCCTGAAAGAAGACTCTTAGTAATACAAACCTCAGACAGAAGGTGAGCAAACAATACCTTGACAGTGCTGGAGAGGTAGCTCATCACTTAAGCAAGCTTGCTGCTCTCCCAGAGGTCCCAAGTTCGACTCCCAGCCTCCACCAGGGGCAGCTCACAGTGCCCGTTAACTACAGCTCCAGCAGATCCAATACCCTCTTCTGGCCCACACACACATTAAAAATAAATATAGATAAACTAAAACTTTAAAATAAAGAAAAGAGTCATGAACCCACCAAAGGACTGAAGATGGGATCATTGATGTGGGTTTTGTGCAAATAAGGTTTAGGTTGAAACAAAGTTGAGTTGTACATGAAAACTTAGGAGTGACCAGACTAGTTGTTTGGGGAAGCATTTCAAACAAACTCCAGAGGGATTCCCAGTCCCCAGGACCCTGGGCCCTCTCTCCTTGTGAGGCTGGGTGGCAGAGGAAGATGAGAGCCCTGGAGATGAAGCTTAGAAGACTGAAAGCTGCCATGGCTTGATGTTCTCACTCCACGACCCCTCCCATCCTTGGATGTGGAAGACACCTTGAAGGGTACTTGGGATCAGCTTCAGAAGGCCTTGCCTGGCCACCACCGGTCTTTTCTTCGAGGAGATGCTAATGAGATGCTAATGGGATGCAGCTAGAAAAGAGAGAAGACTTTGAGGGAAGCCTTGTGGGTGCA